GGTTTATATTCTTACTCAATAAAAAAATTACCCACATATAAGGGGACATGCAGACAGAAAGAGTTTCCAGTTTGTTGCTCTTGCTATCTATCTGAATTTCAAGTAACAGGCCATAACATAATGTATAATATGGAAAATTTACATGGAATGTTATACCCTAACTTATCAATAGTAAGTACAAGCTGGTTAAAAATTGGTCAAAGGTTTTGTAGAATAATGCCATTATTATCTATTGGATTTCCTCTGTCAAAAAGAACAAGAACTCACTCTGCGTGTCACAGTTGGATCCCGCTGAGCTTTAGAGATCAAGTGTCCAAGTAGAGTGTTGGTTCTGAGGAAATGTAAACGAATATTTGTGGCTTTAGTAAACTCTCCAAGTATGGAAGAAGGGCTGAAATAATTTGCTCCTGGACGGCCATTTACCAAGGATATCACAATCTGATTCAAAAAAGAGAGACGGATAAATCAATAGCATCTGCTTTGCTTTCAATATTTTTAAAAATTATAAGAATACATCTATAAATGATTATAACATTCATCTTTATGTTTTAATCTTTTTATTGTTGTTGGAAACATTGATTGCTCATCTGACTAGGATAAAAATTGAATAAATAACATGTTCAAAAGAATTGCAATTTTTACAAATATCACTAATAGATATCTGTACATCACTAGAGAATTGAATACTGTTAACACTGATCAATGTGTATTTATTTCCTGCTGTAGCATAAAGAATAAAAAATATTGTAAATAAGCAAAAAACATCTTTTAATCAAAGGCTTTTATAGCAACAAGAATATACACAATGTTCTTATGGAACTTCCCCATCAGCAAAAGCAGGTTCAAAGTTCTTTTTAATAAAAGCTCATTGTAGAATACTAATGAACTCTGCTAACTCAGAATTCAGTTCATGGAACAACTCTATTTTATGAACAAACTGGAAACTTTATTGATAGCAGTAAAATTTTATTGGTTTAACAACATCGACTGTTATGGGAAACAAGTCTATCTTTATATTGATGCTCCTAATTCCAAACTAGGGTATTTGTTTCATCTCTCTTTGGTTGTTATACAAAAACAACTGTGCATAAAAAAGAAAATAATAGCCTCAAAATGACCAGAAAAAGGTGGCCACACAATAAAGCAATGAATGGTCAGTAGTGTAACTTAGAATAGACTAGAGCAGCTTTTCTCAACCTTGGCAACCTTAAGATGTGTGGAGGTCAACTTTCAGAATTCCACAGCCAGCCATGCTAAGGGATGTGGGAATTCTGGGAGCTGACAAATATCTTAACATCTTAAAGGTTGAGAAACATTGGACTAGAGCAGGGGTCTTCAAACTTGGCCCTTTTATGACTTGTGGACTTCAACTCCCAGAATTCCTCAGCCAGGCACGCTGGTTGAGGAATTCTGGAAGTTGAAGTCCACAAGTCATAAAAGGGCCAAGTTTGAAGACTCCTGGACTAGAGAAACAAGAAGGAATATCTGGAAGAAGGAGGTTATCATCAAAGTGGGTTTTTCTTTAAATCGGATTATTACTGAATCCAATTCACAATAAAGTAGGAAAGGAGGATAATCTGAAGTAAGGCAGCAAATGTGACCATAAATATGAGGAGGAATATTCACTGATAATTGCAAACCAAATTCCTAGAATTTATGATTCTAGAAGTACTGAAAGAATACATGCAATAACATTTGAACAATGGCAGAATGGAAAGCATTTAGAACATGGATGTCTTCAGCTTACCTCTCCATTTTCTAAAGGCACTATCCGAGAATATTCTGTTGTGCAAATGACATCATTATCCTTTCTGAGAGGACTATTAGCTTCTTTTCTGAAACGTTCCCAACAGTCCGCCTTAGAATCTAATTTTTTTTAAAAGAAAGTCACTTTTAGTTCAGTCTCTGATATGTTTTAATTGTGTCTCCTAGTCTTGATATTAACGCTTATAAGTAAGACAAATGATATCATCAAAGCACAAGAGTTCATGCTGAAGCAGCTTTGGTGTCTTCAAGTCCTGCTCCTTGCCCTTCAGTTCTCCAAAGTTGATAGACATTCTCGCAAAGCTGTGTCAAAGTATTCTTGGCTCACTAAAATATCAATGTTTAATGAATTTGAATCAGGAAACAGAATGAAACAAAAGGAAGGTAAACAGTAATCTACAGAGAAGTAGCAGAACCTCCACATCAGTTCTGAAAAGAATAAAGCCACCTTATGAATTCTTTTAAACAGTAATAAACATTTTGGGTCATCATAGGCATGAGCCAGAACATATCTTGGTCCCACTACTATTACCTGGCTTTATTGTTTACCTTAACTATGAATCAGGGAACAGCATTTTAGACTCATTCTATGTACAATTCAACATGACTAACTCTATAAAATTCAATTAGCTTGTATTCATTTCTTTTCTTTTAAAAAAAAAAGTACTATAAACATTGAAAGAGCTCTGTGGTTGATACTCACAAGCAAAATATTGCCATGGTATATATGTTCTTCCAAAGTCTATTGATCTCTCTAATACCCACAAATCTGGACGAGGAGAATTTGCAAATTTGATAAGGACATAGGCCACATGGAACAACTGGTAATAAAATATATAAAGGAACATTAGAATATATCTGACAGCATTATGATACTATAAAGTAGAATGAGTAAGCTAAGTTTTTTATTGGTAGTGAGCTGGCATCCATTTCTAGGTATCCTATGTACTTTTAGAGGAGCCATTAGCATAAGATTAATACTGCTCTGGGCCCTGTGGTCAGAATGCAGTATTGCAGGCTAACTCTGCCCACAGCCTGGAGTTTGATCCTGATAGGCTTGAAGTTGATATAGCCTTCTATCCTTCTGAGGTTAGTAAAATTAGTACCCAGATTGTTGGGAGTAATATGCTGATATTGTAAAACGTTCAGAGAGTTCTGTAAAGCATTACCGAGCAGTATATGTCTAAGTGCTATTGCTATTGCTATTGCTATTTGATGTTATGTATGAATTAGCTAGTGATCATTTGATATTTACTAACTTAAGGGTTGAAAACAATGACTACATTAGACATGAGAAATACCTTTGAGGGCAACCCCAAGAGATTTTCAAAAATTATTAGCAAATTAAAAACTAGTGTGACAACAGAGAAAAGTTATACATGAGTACATGAATATGCTATATGTTAACTGAATTAAATTATAATTACATTTAACTATAAATTGGATGAATTCAAATTTCATTTTATTTCTGATGTGAACCATCCATTTTTTTTTAATTACGGTGTGCCAATCAAAGGTTAACTGTGGGCCTTTGTTCTGAAAACGCTGTGCCTTTCTATTTATCAATATAGTTCAAGGTTCCTCTAGTCAGACTTCAATGAACAGACTAAAAAAACAAAGAATTTCAGAGAAAATCATGTTACTGTTGGATAATTCAATAGAAAGGAATGTATGTGGACTTTGTCAATAGGACAGTTGCCCTGGGGGAAGTATACAGAGACCGCACCATCCAAAGTACAGTTTAATATCTGAAAGAATTGATAAATCAAACATATTCATTCAAGACAGAAAAGCTTGTCATTAAAATATCATCCCAAGACATTTTTCAATATTTTGAATTTCTCAATTAAAATTCCTTTTACTAGATCAGTGGTGGCGAACCTATGGCACGCGTGCCAGAGGCGGCACTCAGAGCCCTCTGTGTGGGCACACGCACCATGCCCCAGAGATGGCAACCGTCCCTCTTCAACCAGCCGCCTGTTAACTCGCCGAGGTCCCACATAGCCAGATGCATCTCAGCACCCATGTGCTCGCTGGCCTCTGTGTGCAGGGGCCGATGGTGTCAGGCAGCAGCCGCACTGGCCCCTGCCTCACCTTGCCCTGTGACAATGGCACCCCTGCCCTGCCTTGCCTCACCCTGCAGGACGAGCCTCCTGTCCACCGCCCCACCTGCCAGAGATCCCCTGGATCTCCTCCAATCCTGCCCAGCCGCCACAGACGTCCCTTCCCATGAGCAACATTGAGGTGATCACGCCCACCTTGGCTACACCCACCCAATCTGCCATGACCACCACAGCCACAGCCACCCAGTGGGCCATGCCCACCTGGTACCCAGCGATAAATAAGTGGGTTTTGGGCACTCGGTCTCTAAAAGGTTCGCCATCACTGTACTAAATCATTGAGATTCAGCTGAACAAAAATTACGTGGGCAAACAAAGAACTGACAAGAAAGGTGATGTGGATTCATATGACTATTTTATTGCCTCAGAATCTCAGACTCTTTTTTTTTAAAAAAAAGGAAAAACCCTCAGGAAGCATGTTTTGCATGCCAAAGCTCTCAAGTTCAAACCCTGGCAAGAAGGAATAGCTAACAGATATGTGAAAACTCTTTCTTGGCTTGATGCCTGGAGAACCACTGCCAGTCAAAATAGGTAATTGTGTGATTTAAATGGTTACATAGTTTAATCTAGTATGAGAAAAATGCCATAAATGTGTAAGATTATTTATGCTAAAGCAGAGCAAAGAACTTCTTAACTTGGCTACTAGGCTTCTATTTTATCTCCACAGTGGACTATCTCTGCCTATAGGAAATCCATAAGCAGGTCATAAATGCACCTGTTTCCCAGCGTACGACATTGAAAAGCATACTGGTCTTCATATGGGAAGTAACCACTGAGAGTTTTGTCTACCATTAATGTTTAAAATCCAATATATTTATTTTAGTAACCGTGCCTTTGGTTTCTCAGGTGATTGGTTAAAAAAATGTAATTGATTTTATATGAATTCATGTAATAGTTTAAGCACTTTAGTTTTACTTTAGATTTGATCTTTTTTTTAATTATTCTACTTTTATCCAACAATTGTATTTTTATTACCCTCTTAATTATCACTAGGGGGAAAACCTGAAACAGCAGTATAAACAAACTAAAATATCATCACAGTATGGTTAGCCTTCTCTATTACTTTAAGGATATTGTACTACAACTTTACTGATTGACATCTAATCTGAGGAGTGGCCAAGCTAGCTGCAATGATGCGGACTGAAATTCACACATTTGGATACCTGACAGGGACCCACGTTAGTGAGTCTGCTCTATATTATTTATTCTATAATGTACCCCTTGCTGTTGATGAGTCAAAATTGGATAAATATTTTTAGCGTTTACGGATATGTTTATAAATCTGCAATTCACTCAATTATAACTTGCTTAAATATAGATTATACAATAAAATAACATTGTCTGAGTTTTCGCAATATACTAATTATATTAAGATGTAACATGTTGCACAACATTATTTAAATGTATCACGGCTAGTTGCATTTCAGTTTATTTATCAGTAAATTTATGGTGTCTTTTTTTTCCAGGACAGAAAGATGCCGAAAGACAGGTGATCCCATTTTCCACTAGAACCATTAGAGAAACTTACTGAAGGGAAACTATGGTTATTACTGTATTTTAAACATGGGATTCTGTGGGATTTTACAGATTCCTATTTCAAAGTAATTATAGCAGTATTCTTTTGGATATTGTGCTCTTTGGCCTGGGAGAAGATCTTCATTTGCTGTTGCATTTCAGATAATACAATGTCTTATGCTTGGCCATTTCCCATCTGGGGTCTTCATTAAGACTGGTGTTCTGGTGTTACAATTAAGAAGAAAAAAAACCTCAGTGGCGAAGATGCCAAATGTGAGACCTGCATGTTTCTCTGAGCAAAACATATACCTCCCAAAAGCAAGATACAGTGTTAAAAACGTGAGAAGGATGAGAAGAATTGGATTAACTATATATATATATATCATATCCATGTCTCATACTGCCTTCTCACCTTAGCAGGGATAAGTTATTTAATTATTCTACTTCCCAAAAATGTGTCCAAAATATTAATGTTGGATATGTCATCGTAAACTAAGGGACATTTCATCAGTATGACATACCAACCAAATATAAAAATGTTTTAATAAAAAAAATTGATTTCCAAAGATAATGTAACTAGACTTCGAATCAAGGATATATTTAAATTCATCTAGAGCAGGGGTATCAAACTGCTGGCCCGTGGGCCGGATGCATCGTAACAAAACCACGCCCACCCCATTGCCGGCAAAGGCAAAAAAGTCGCGATATGTCACGTCACGTGATGTTGTGAGTTTGACACCCCTGATCTAGAGTAAGCAATTTTTATCACACAAGCGTTTAGTTTCACTTATCTTAAACTTTCTGTCAACATTAATTTTTATATTATTTTGCTTGGAACACTGTCATAAAACTTGGACTGTTTACTCTTTAACATTAACCAAACTTATTAAAGTAGGTAAGCCACAGTGTATTTGATGAACCACTACATTAAGATAATGGAATACTAGATAGCTTTTACCTTCTAGTCCTGGATTTTTTACTTATTTTTCAAAGTTGTTCAGTTGTCTTTCCATAAAATCTAAACAGAGTCAATGTCAGGTCCCAGGGAAATCAGAAAATCCAGACAATTCAAGTGAACATAAATATTTATTGCAAGCTTTAAGTTCTCTACAAGAATCTGAACTACTACAGAACAAATTGGCAATAGATAAGGATCAAAGGAATTCATGGTGTGCTGAACGTAGATCACGAAGGGATTCATGACTGATGACACAGGCTGATCATCTTCTACAGTCAAAGCTGTAAATAGAACAGCAACTTCTCCCAACGGACAGGAAAAATAATAGATGCTGATCTTGTGATATGTTGGGGTTGCTTGGATTATGCCTTCAAAATAGAGGTGTTAAATAAATCTGCTAGTTTGCTGAATACAAGTATAAGTAATTTTTCCTGCCAATCTTCTCTATCCAGTGGGCCAGCAATATAAAACCAAAAATTTGATCATTTCCACTGTAGTTTCCCTTTGCATGCCTAGACATAGCTAGCAAGTTTCACCTCGCTCTTCTTTCCCCAGACTAAACATCCTAAGTTCCTTCAGTCTACCTTTAAAGGGCAAATCCTCAAATACTTTTGTTGACCTTCTCTAACCTTCCTTTATTTTGTAATACACCAGTGATAAGTGACTTATTTTAACCAGGCCATATTTTTGCGGTACTTGTAATACTTTTTAGGGTGCTGTCATTTCTTCTACTATTCCTAAAGCTTGTCATTCTGAAAACCTGACTGCACATAGCACTTTCCTGCTTTTATCTATAACGCAGAGAAAAGGAAGGAGGGAAATGCTTCAGAGAAGTTTTGTCATCAGGCAGGCAAGGCTGATCTGAATGTAGACGTTAGCAATCCACATTTTAAAAAATTGGGATATTTCTTGACCCCTTTAGCTAGTTGCTTATTGGTGCAGTGATGAACAACTCAGAAATAGTTATATTGCAACACAGTAAAAAAAGATAATATAATTTTTCCCCAAGATCCTTGCAGTCTGTGCAATTTGAGTAGGACATTGATTTGCAAACAAATAGTAAAGGAATATTAAGTAAGGGAAGATGGTTTTTATTTTTATTTTTTATTTTAAAAAATCTGGAAACAAGCAGGAACTTTAATTCTTGGGAAGAAAGAGCACCAAGGGGTGTGGTTTGATTTTCAAGGGCCACATTGTAGACAGGAAGTTGTTTCAACTTTCTTCAGTCAGTCTGTTCTTCTGATAAAGAACTTCACAAGGCCATAAGGTCTATTTTTCTCCACTTGAATCTTGAATCAAAAATCATTCTAGCTAGGGAAAAGAATTGGTTTTGGTATTGTGATGTTATTAAAGTAGTTTGCTGTTCTGTAT